TCATGCTCTCTGTTTCTGGAAAGGAGTTAGTCCTAAATGAGTGTAAAGCATCATCATGCTATTTATGATGATGATGTAACCTCTCTAAGTATTAGAATCTTCATCTCAGGAGCAGAAATAATAACAATAAGGTTGTAGATAAAATGTGTAAGACTTTTGGCATGATGGCTAAACCAGAGCAGTCCTTCAGTAAATGGGCAGTGGTTTTTTGTTGCCACAGTCATAGATCCAGTGGAAATAAGTGAAGTAATCACTTTGGAAAGAAATTCATTCTTCAAGAGTTCCACCTGGCAGTTCTTCATGCCTGGATCTAGAGGTTAAGTTGGTAGAGACTGGCATGAAGGAAGCCAAGTTGAGAACAATGCCCAGTTATCTTTCTTTGTCTCATGACCATAACTCAATACCTTGTCCTCTCATGACTTCATCCCACCAAGCTGGGGGAGAAACCCCTGCCAGAGTAGGTTAGGGTAAACAACACTATTCTACCTCTGCTGCTGAAGAAAACAGATGAAATGAGACTCAAGGAATGTGTTTCATTGATTGCAAGGTGAGTCTTGAGAGCCAAAGGAGAATGTAGAGAGTTGTTAACATCCTGATATTATAGAATGGAATATATTGATATCAGTACATCCTGATACTATAATTTCACTTCTGTGTAGAGAATCAAACCTTTATCGAATTCATATATAAGGATAGACTGAAGTGCCATTTGAAGATTCAGCTTGAAAGACTTCAAAGGGACTCTGAAGCCAAAAGCCTCCAGTACCTACAGATAGAACCAGGCAGTTCTGGGAAAATCTGCTCCTGGGAAAGACATCAGTCCTGGTTCTCTAGGAACCAATAAGCCGATAACTAAGTTTGATTTGGGTCCTTGGGAGTGGTGTGTCTGTATAAGTGGAATAAAATTTCATGTTTAAAATGATATTTCATAGCTTTGGAGATTCTTTTGTATATCAGAGTTCATGAGTATAATCTCCCTAGGGGCCGGTGGTGTTGGCAAGAACTGAAATTCTCCAATCGTAAACCATTTATGTATAACACAACTGAATAAAATGCTTGCACTGGATGTGTATAACATTTATGCATATAAAACCAAACATTCTTTGAATGATTAGAAAGAAAACCAGTTTTTTCAGATAGACCCTCTTGCTGACTAATTGTATCGGATTTGCTCTATGTGTTTGTGTGTGTGTGTGTGTGTTTCCACTGTATCAACTGTCCAGTGATATTCAAAACCTCTAATGTCTCCAGTTCAGCAAGAAAGCCAAATGGAATTGGGTTCATTCCACTCTCTCCAAACATAACTGCCCCATTCGGTAAGAATAAATTAGATTTAGTGAAAATTAAAATGTCAGCAAAAAGAAATAACTTCTCTACCCAGTCTCCACTGAAGACCCACATAGCCAAATGTCTGGCATTTGCCTGTCATCTGCTTCTCTGACCATAGGGAGCAGCTCAAATGACAGGCACACAGATGGACACGTCGTGTGATTAATGGCATCTACTGGGCCTGGTGGTGACGATGCAGGAAATGGCGGCAGACATGAGCTGGTCCCCTTTTTGGTTTAGCGTTCCTTCCAATGCTTGAAATGGAGAGGAATCAGGAAACATTCCAGCCCTTATTCTTTGCTAGAAACTCTGAAGGCACCCTTCTTGCATTCTCCAGAGTCACTTGCCAAGACCAGGCCTTTGATGGGTAGCTATACCAGCCTTCTGACTGGCCCATCACAATTACATCCTCCTTCCCTCTTTCCCTCCCTTCCTTTGTTTCTTCTTCTCTCTTTCTTTGTTCTTTTTCCCTCTTGCTTTTTTTTTCCTCCTCTTTTTCCCAAGCATTGTCTCACCCCAGCAACCTCAGAATGCAAACTAGCCCACCAGAGTGGGCTCTCCACTGAACCTTTAAGGAACAGATGGAAGTGTGTGAAACTGGCCAGGGTCTGAATAGGCAGCATGAAGACCTATAGCAACTTCTAGCCTTGGACTTCGCTCCACCTTCTAGCCAAGTGGGTCATTCCTACTCACGGCACTTCTAACACATCAAGAATACAGGAAACCAATGGGGCACCTGTGTGGATCACTCGATTAAGCCTCCAACTCTTGATTTTGGCTCAGATCAAGATCTCAGGGCTGTGGAATGGAGCCCCGTGTTGGGCTCCTCGATGAGTGTGGAGCCTGCTGAAGATTCTCTCTCTCCCTCTCCTTCTGCCCTTCTGCCACCCCTCCTACCCCCACTCTCTTTCTCTTAAAAAAAAAATACTGGAGGGATCCCTGGGTGGCTCAGTGGTTTGGCGCCTGCCTTTGGCCCAGGGCGCGATCCTGGAGTCCCGGGATCGAGTCCCACGTCAGGCTCCCGGCATGGAGCCTGCTTCTCCCTCCTCTTGTGTCTCTGCCTCTCTCTATATATATGTCTATCATAAATAAATAAATAAATCTTTAAAAAAAAATACTGGAGATCAAGATTCACCACTAGAAATGGGCCAAACTTGATGCCATTGTCTTGGGACCACACCCAAGTGGAGAATTCTTTCCTTCACTGGCTTTTAAAATGTTAATTTGTTTTAAATAAATAATCAAGACTTGCAAAAGGTAAGAAAGGGTGAAAAATCTTCCTCTGTCCTGTTTTTTACCCCCTGCCACCCAGACTACCAATGCCCTTTTTTTGTTGTAATTAGTAGACAATTTTAGACCAATTTAAGTTTATAGAAAAATTGAGTGGAGGGACAACTGGGTGGCTCAGATTCTTGATTTCAGTACAGGTCATGATCTCAGCTCTCAAGTTTCTGGGATTAGCCCCACACAGGGCTCTGCACTCAGAAGAAGGAAGTCTTCTTGAGATTCTCTCTCTCCCCTCTTCCTCTTCTCCCCTTCCACTCTCACTCTCTCTTTTCATCTCTCTCTAAAAAGAAATAAAAAGTCTTTTCTAAAAAAATGATAGAGGGGATGCCTGGGTGGCTCAGCAGTTGAGCATCTGTCTTCGGCTCAAGGTGTGATCCTGGGGTCCCTGGATCAAGTTCCGCATCGGGCTCCCTGCATGGAGCCTGCTTCTCCCTCTGCCTGTGTCTCTGCCTCTTTCTCTTTGTGTCTCTCATGAATAAATACATAAAATCTTTTTTAAAAAATTGAGTGAAAAGTATAAAAAGGTCCTATATCCCCTCACACTCCTCCCCGCCTTCCCCCCGCCAATTATTAACATTTTGCTTCTGTGTAGTACATTTGTTAGAATTGATGAGCCAATATTGACACATGATTATCAGGTACAGTTCATAGTTTACATTAGATTCACTCTTTGTGTTGTATGCTCTGTGGGTTTTGGCAAATGTATGATGACATACATCCACCATCACGGTATCACATGAAATAGTTTCACTGCCCTAGAAACGCTCCATGTTCTACATCTTCAACCTTCCCTTCTCCCAAAACCCTCTGGCAACAGCTAATCTTGTTGCTATCTCCATACTTTTGCCTTTTCCAGAATGCATATACTTGGAGTCATACAGTACAATGCCTTTTCAGACTAACTTCTTTCTCTTAACAATATGCATGTAAGGTTTCTCCATTTCTGTTCATGGCTCGTGCTCACTCCTTTTTATTGATGCATAATATTCTATTGTCTGCATGTACCACAGACTGTTTATCCATTCACACACTGAAGGACATCGTGATTGGTGCTAAGTTGTGGTCTTTATGAATGAAGCTGCTATAAACACTCATCATATGCAGGTTCCATGTGGACAGAAATCTTCAACTCAGATGAAACTCAGAATCACCAAGGAAAGTGATTACTAGATCTTATGATAAGAATATGTTTAGTTTTATAAGAAACTGCCAACCTGTCTTCTAACTCAGTATGGATTTTGTTTTGTTTTCAGTAGTTTTAAAGTACCTACTGTTAGCAGAATAGGTACTTAGCAAAGATGGAAATCCAGACCCCACCAACAGCCACTGGGACACCAAGGCAAGAGCTCCCACCATTTGTAGGAACACAGAGTTGATCTCAAGAACATGGACTTTGGGGGGCACCTGGGTGGCTCAGTTGGTTGGGCATCTGCCTTCGGCTCAGGTCATGATCTTAGAGTTCTAGGATCGAGCCCCACATTGGGCTCTCTCTCAGCAGCGAGCCTTCTTCTTCTCCCTGCCCTCCTGCTCATGCTCTCTCTCTCTCTCAAATAAATAAATAATTTAAAAAAATAATAAACTTGATCAAGCCACAGAGGTTTACTTCTTGCCTTGGCTACTTACTTGCTCTGTGACCTCAGGCATGCTTCTGGTTTCCCAACTGCAATTAGGCTTGGTAATAACAACCAAATTCTAGGGTTCTGAGAATTAGTGAGATATCTCATGCACATTTTGACACACCACTAGGTACAAGTAAGTGCTCGATAGATATTAATATTATTTTTATATCTTATTACAAAAACCACCATCTTTTACCCAACCTCTTCCCAGTATATTCATTAGAGATGAATCTAAGTAACAGTGCATTCAAGGGACTGGAAGACAGAACAATATGATACATTGTATAATCTAATGAGAAAAAAAATGTGCAGCAGCTAAAATTAAAAAAAAAAAGCTAGAAAGAATATGTCTTTAAGTGTGGAAGGTTTTGATCTGCAGAATAAATTCCCTCACTCTCCTCTCACCCCAGGTTCCCATTAATGTTTTGCTGGCTCAGAATCCTCTGGGGTGAATCCTGGATTATGAAATGCCCTCTCTCTGGTGGCCTGCCAAAGCCTCCTCTGCAGACACCCAGACTAACCTGGCACTGGCTCGTGGTAAGAAGCCTCCTCACCCTGAGGGCCTGAGTAATGCTCATGTTTTTTCCTTTCTCAGACTACTCCACAGGCGGGCCGGGGGGAGAGCCATTAAGCAATCCATGTGGTATCTTTTTTTTTTATTATTATTTCTTTGGGCAATTCTTACATGATGACATAATGATATGTGCTAACAATGAAAAATAAATGCACTGGAGCTGTATCTCTTTGTATTGGGTTTATTTTGGAAATGAACAAACACACAAACAAGAAATTATCTCCTGTGCATTCCTGATTAATAATCTATGACTCCCCACGATGCCCACACACCAGTGGAAACGGAAACATTTGAGTGCATCTACCAGCTGATTTGCCTTCATAATATCAGATGACTAGTTTCCCTGTTTTAACTACATGGGCAGGGCTTGGGTGTCATGAGGTCAGAGTATATGGAATTTTTTTTTTAACTAAGGGTAAACAATGAAACCTGATAACTTATTCAGGGCATATGGCTTAAAAGCAGGCACTCACTAATATGAGGCGTATCGGATTAATAAAGCCCCGCGCTAAGGGCAAATCTGGAGCAAAATCTTTCTGATTAACTAAAACTGAAATACAACAGCAGAGCTCAGAATCCTGCTGAGGAATTACAAACAGGGTAGGTTTGAAAAAAAAACAAAAAGAAAGAAAAGTTGAAACGTAGGACACGTGGGTCTGCTGGAGTCGTCCAAATGGATGGCCACAGCCAGGTTTTAAGACTGTTCAGCCCATCGGTCCTGTGGGAAGAACAGGAAGAGGGTAGAGGTCAGAATGAACAGGGTCTTTCTTGTTCCTCTCTCCCACCCTACGCAAGGGCTTCACCATCCCAGCACAGCTTAATGGAGTCATGAGGAAAGGAAGAATAGGGGAAAGAAAGAAAGAGCCAGTCCCCAGGAGAGATCTCTCACTCAATATGCTCTGGGTACACTGTGACCCAGGGAAATGCCTCTTTTTCTAGAAGCTTCTGTGATTTTTTTTTAAGATTTATTTATTTACTTGAGAGAGAAAGAGTGTGAGCAGGTGGAGGGGCAGAGGGAGAGAGAGAGAGAGAGAATCCTTAAACAGACTCCACCCTGAGAGTGGAGCCCAATGTGAGGCTCTGTCCCAGGACTCTGAGATCATGACCTGAGCTAAGATCCAGTTGGCAGCTTAACTGACTGAGCTGCCCAGGGGCCCCTAGAACCCTCTGGCTTTAAGGTTCAGTCTGCTGAGTCTGAATCATGATTAAAGGCACAATATCCAGATCTAACAACAGAAACCATCTTGAGTTCTGGGTCCACTTTATGCTAGCTCTATGACTTGAGTCTTCTCTAAGTCTCACTTACTTTGGCTGTGAAATGGAAATGAGAACAGTATCATACCTCCCTTCCAGCTGTTGTAAGGATCACAGAAAGTAACAGGGCCTGGCACTGTCTCTGATGCACAGTGAGTGCTGAGTCTAGGTATTTATTGCATTATTGTTGCCATCATTGCTATTTTTGAGTTTACCACACAGTTATGGATATTTTTCTGTCTGGACAAGAAATAGTCAGGAACAGAGTTAGTTGTAACAGCACGTAGGCATGGATATGAGGGCTGGGTATTTCAGCAGCCTCAGATGCCACCAGCTGTGCTAGGTCAGCCATTTAATTCAGTTCAACAAGTTTGCATTTTGAGAACCAGGATATGGGTGAACACCACATTACCCCTGCCTGACCAGCATTTGGCGTACACAGGAAATTCCACAAACACAGCTGTCCAGTTGAAGTGATGTCATGTGAAGTTGGAGAGTTCCCACCAAATAAGGCTGTCCTCTGAAGCTGAATTAACAGACACGTTATCTTGGTCCCTCTCCTCCCCAAAATACATATATTTATTTTAATAAAATAATTTCTGTTCAAAATCCTTCGAAAATATTCTCTTCAAACTGCTTTATTTTTTAAAGATTTTATTTTATTTATTCATGAGAGACACAGAGACAGAGAGAGAGAGGCAGAGACACAGGCAGAGGGAGAAGCAGGCTCCAGGCAGGGAGCCCAATGTGGAACTCGATCCAGGGTCCCCAGGATCAGGACCTGGGCTGAAGGCGGCACTAATAGTGGAAGTGGAACATGTGGAACATGACCTTGACTTCTAATTTCCTTTCATTGTCAACAAAGTGACCCACAGCCTGGGTGAGAAAGTTTAAAGGTTGCTTAATTTTTGTAACTTTTATGGCTTTGATGAAGGAAAGAAAGAAGGGGCACCTGGGTGGCTCAGTGGTTGGGCATATACCTTTGGCTCAGGTCATGATTTCAGGTCCTGGGATCCAGTTCCACATCGGGCTTCCTACAGGGAGCCTGCTTCTCTCTCTGCCTATGTCTCTGCTTCTCTCTGTATCTCTCATGAATAAATAAATAAAATTTTAAAAAGAAAGAAAAGGAAGGAAGGAAGGAAGGAAGGAAGGAAGGAAAGAAGAAGAAAGAAGAAAGAAAGAAAGAAAGAAGAAAGAAAGAAAGAAAGAAGAAAGAAAGAAAGAGAAAGAAAGAAAGAAAGAAAGAAAGAAAGAAAGAAAGAAAGAAAGAAAGAAAGAAAGAAAGGGAGGGAGGGAGGGGAACACTGGGAGGGAGGAAGAAAGGGAGGAAGGAAGTGAGAGAAAGGAAAGAAAGAAAAAGAAGATAGTTTCTGGAGCTAATATTGAAGTATTAAGTACCTGAAACAGTGTCTTTTATGGTCTCTCTCAGTTGGATGTGCCTGATACCGAGGAGCACTCTTAGAGGGATCCCTTTACATCAGGTGAACTTCTTTGCCAGTTCACAGATGAGTAACCTCTGCTGCACTGAGCTAGTTTCTTGAGCTGCCCCTGCCCCATATTAAGGTCCCCATATGGGCATGGGGAGACAGGAAGCAGATGTTTGGCATATTCTGGAATTTCTAAGATTTTTTTTAAGAACTTCAAGGATTTTGTTGTAATAATTACAAGTCTACCTAATCTTTATTTGATTTTGGGAAAAGAACACCCTCTCATCTCCATATAGTTTCCCAAATACTGTCATTAATGTTTTCAAAGGAACTGGTAGCACTCCAAGTCCTGATGACCTGAGGAGCGGAACCCTCCCCTGGAGCCCTGCCCTTCACCCACCCAGCTCTGCCAGGCTCCTTTGGGCTCCTATGCCACAAGTTCTGTTTGCTTTGTGGATGACTTCTTTTTCCCCTAACTCCTTCCCCTGGCTGACTTCTACCCATCCCTCACACATCTTTTTTAACATGGCTTCCCACAGGAAGCTTCACAACCCCCTCAACCAGGACCTGGGCTCTTTATCCATGTTGCTCTGGTACCTGAAGGATGGAGGACTCCTGATAAACTTGATGCAATTTTTTTTGAGTGCCTGCTTCCTGCTCTGTGAGCTCACTACTTCCAGGTTACCATTGTACCTCAGTGCTTAGCTCCATATTTGCACGTAATAGGTGCTCAGTAATCTTTGATGGGAGTAAAAGAGAGAGAAGACAGGAAGAGACAGAGGAAGGAAGGGAAGAAGGGAAGGAGGGAAGAGGCATTAGACAAGAAAGGCCAAGAACGTGTCACTGTGGAAGCATTTGTTGTTACCCACCCACACACACACACATGCATGCGCCACTCTCCTTTGTTTGTCTCCCTCCTCTATTTTCTCCTCTTTACAGAAATACCAAAATTAAAACAACGTTAAAATCATTCCTGCTTCAGTATTTACCACAATTGATCTTTGTTTGGTCATTCTTGAATACACAATTTATGCAACAAGCATGAAGTATCATGTCTCTCCCACACACATTTCAATAAATAAATGACAAGATAGATTTTTTAAAATATAATTTTTCATTTAAATTTTGAAAATCTTACAAAAGTTTTAAGTCATCAAATAATTCCATCTTGACACTGACATTGCAAAACCAATTAAAGGAAGCCACCAAGATCATATTATTGGGGTGCTGGTGACTCAGTCAGTTAAGCACCTGCCTTTGGTTCAGGTCATGGTCCCAGGGTCCTGGGATCCAGCCCTGCCTGGGGCTCCCTACTTAGCAGGGAGTCTTCTTCTCCTTCTACGTCTGCCCCTTCCCCTTGTTCATGCTTTCTCTTTCTCGCTAATAAATAAATAAAATCTTTAAAAAAAAGAATCATATGCAAGTGAAGATGAAGCACATCTCGGCAAAGATCTAGAGAAAATGTGGTTTGCAGATAGACATTTCACTTATAATTTTATTTCATTAGTAACTAGTGCTTGAAGTGTCCGTTTATTTAATAAAGTGATGTCTATCTTATTTGGTAAAAAGAAGCCTTGCTTGACCCCAGGAGATGTCCAAACTGGAACAAAGTTGTGTCAAAACCCCTTTAGGACATTTCCCGTAGGATAAAAAGTGGGCTATAAGATGAGACACATTTTGGCAGCCTGGGTGGCTCAGCAGTTTAGCGCCACCTTAAGCCCAGGCGTGGTCCTGGAGACCGGGGATCGAGTCCCACATCAGGCTCCCTGCATGGAGCCTGCTTCTCCCTCTGCCTATGTCTGTGCCTTTCTCTCTCTCATGAATAAATAAATAAAATATTTTAAAAAAAAGATGAGACACTGTATGAATTAGGTGTTTTATTTTATTTTATTTTTTAATCTTATTTTATCATTTTTCTTTGTAGTCTCAACACCCAGCTTGGAGCCCAGCTCTGGGCTTGAGCTCGCGAAAGTGAGATCCAGACTCGAGCTGAGTTCAAGTGTCAGACACTCAACCGACTGAGCTACCCAAGAGCTCTAGCAGTGTATGAATTAGATAAAAATCTTTCCAAGAAATTTTCCCTTGCTTTGGATTAATTTCTTTTTCTTTCTTTCTTTCTTTCTTTCTTTCTTTCTTTCTCTTTCTTTCTTTTGCAGAGAAATCAAGAAGAGAGAAGGAATGAAAAGAAGAAGAAAAAAAGAAACAAAGAAATGAGGAAAGAAAGAGAAAGAACGAGCATAGTACAATAGCATCACAGAGGAGCATACTACACATTTGTCTGTGTTACTGTCTTCGTCTTTTACTTCCTCACCTGAAGGAATGCAGTGCAGGGATGTCAGAACTCCAAAGCAGGGCAAGAAATTGAGTAGAGTGTAGATTCATTCATGACAGGAGATTTCAAAAGTTAGAATTACTAAATCTGGGCTGGAAAATAAGAGAGATTTACTTAGGCATTAAAAATATGTACTGGACGGTAAAACTGATAGATCCTTATTACATTGTCCCGCAAGAGGCTGCACTCCTCGGCGTGGTTAATGCTAAAGAAATTTAAAGCAAGCTATAGAAAATACTTCTTCACCTGGTAGAATTCATTCTGAGGAATTTGCTGCCACAGGCAGTCATAAAATCAATCACTGAGTTGGATTTTTCAAAGGGGCAGGATAATGTATGACCCCCTCTTCTGGCTAGTTGGGAAGGATAGAAGCAATCAATTCGCCTGCTTCTAGGAGATCACAGTTGATTACTAGTGGGGTCAGCGAAAAGATGTCCTCCACACTTGATCAAGATAATTAAAAAGTGTTTGCCCATGCTCACATGTCCTGGAAGGAAATAGGAAATAGGATATAGAGATCAAATGACCTGATCCATTATGACAAATGTTTTTTGACAGGGATAGAGCATTAAACAATGCAAAGATCAATTCCAGGAACTAATTACAGGTGTTCCTACTATATATTTTCATCAAAGCATTTTTTTCTGGTAATATAAATATTACACAATGTTTTTGTTTTTTAATCTGTTTCTCTGACAAGTATTCTTGGAGTACATCTACCAAACCTGAAAACACTTAACATTCATGACTTTTCTTTTTCCCAATGGAAAGTAGAGTTTAGCCAAAAGTTGTGAATGCACTGGAAATACTAGCAAGACAACGCAAATTTCAATGTTCTCATGATGATGGTCAGTAATAAACTTCTTCAATAAAATCATTGCAGTTTAAATTCAGCATCTTTTTCTTTTCAAATCAATATCTCAACTCTTTTTCTTGGAAATGTGTAGTCTCTAGCACGTCACTCAGCACTACAGCAGATGTATCAAAAGCATCATTGCAGAGAAAGACAAATACCATATAATTTCACTCAAATGTGGAATTTAAAAAAACAAAACAAATGAATAAAGAAAAAAAAAGAGACAAAACCAAAAAAACAGATTCAAATACAGAGAACAAACTGATGGTTACCAGGGGGAAGTGAGAAGGAGGGATGGGGGAAAGAGAAGACGGGGACTAAAGAGCACACTTATGATGAGCACTGAGTAATGTGTAGAATTGCTGAATCACTATATGGTACACCTGAAACTAATATAACATTGTATGCTGAAGATAAAAGAAGGGCACCAGGGTGGCTCAGTTGGTTAAGTGTCTGCTTTTGGCTCAGGTCATGATATCAGCTTCCTGGGATTGAGCCCCACATTGGGATCCCTGCTCTGCCAGGAGTCTGCTTCTCCTTCTCCTTCTTCTGCCCCTCCCCCACTCATATTTTCTCTCTCTCTCTCTCTCTCTCTCTCTCTATCACTGGCTCAATCTCTCTCAAATAAATAAATAAAATATTTTTAAGAAATAAAATGAAGTTAAACTTTTAAAAAAGAAGAAGCAGGTGCATCTGGCTGGCTCAGTGGGTAGAGTGTGAAACTCTTAATCTTGAGGTTGTGGATTCGAGCCCCATGCTTTGTGTGTGTGTGTGTGTGTGTGTGTGTGTGTGTGTGTGTGGAGATTACTTAAAAATAAAATCTTAAGAAAAAAAGCAACATTGTACCTCTAACATTCTAATTCATGAGCTTCAGAAAGAGACACTAAAACAGTATTTCAAGTGTGGCTGGAGACTGCATTTTTGTTTGGGCACAAATGAATGACACGCAATCTATGAAAAAGGGAAATTTTGATTCACAAAATTACAAAACAAAATCCTGGATAAGTCACAATAAAACCTAGTCTTTGAATTTCAATAGTGTCAGAGTACTGAAAAGGCATCATTGTCACCTCCTAAGAATGAGGAAGTGTTACCTACTCTAAGGGACAAGGACCTGCCTAGTTTTATTACCTATGTTAAAGAAAAAGCAAACACAAAGATAAAAGGTGTCTGGAAGTTTTTCCATGATAAACCTTGACAATTTGAAATAGCAGTTATAATCTGAACTTAAAGACATCCTTGTCTTTATAAGCATGTTTTATTAAAACATTGTCCTGACTAAAGACTTGAAAAAGATGAAAGTATATATCTCCATGTTAATGTCAGGAAAGTTTTCTATCACCGCCATAACACACTGTTGGAAGCTCTACAAGACATTCATTCCTAAATCAGCTCATGTGACACCTCATTGCTACAAGCATTCATTGTATTGGGGAAAATCTCTAGAGCCACACTACCTGCGATCCAGCCCTGGCCCTGACCCTCATCAGCTGGATTACCTTAGGAAAACCACTTCACTCCCCCTGCCTCAATATCCTCATCTGTAAAATAGGTAGAATGATACTGCCTACCCCACAGTTTGGCTGTAAGTTAAATCAACATAAAATTTAAAAACTAGCTAGTACATAATAAGTGCTTAGAGGTTCAACCCCCGTAAGAGGTTCAATCTTTCAATCCCTAGAAAGTCTGGGCTTTAAGGGAAGTCTTTCCCCTGGGAGAGGAGAGAGAGAGAGAGAGAGAGAGACAGTAGAGGTCATTTCCTGTCTTGTGGATTTGGGGGTAAGAGTGAAAGAAGTTTCCATTGTTATACTTCCTCCCCTTTCCACTCTTAAACTTCCCTCTGCCCCCTCTCCTGCCACATTTCTCCTTCAATTCTACAGTCTGCCACCCAACTAGGTGTTCTCTCTCTCCATAGTCCTTCCATCTCCTCTTCCCTCAGTCTGCAATTGTTGCCTCTGTTCTCCCCCCACTAAACCCCAACTGGCTCACTCACACTCATGCATCACCCTCTGCTCAGATGTCATCAGTCCCTGAGTTACTTGCTCCCTTATGGCCTCCATGGTTCCATCACCACCTTTCATTATCCATTTACTTTCTGTACTCACCATTAGACTGCAAGCTCCACTTGGCAGGGATTTGGTCTTGTGCATTCACCACTTGCTCCCCACTCCTGAGCTCCATTTCTGACAAACTGTTCAGAAGTCTCAAATGGTTAAAAGAAGCAACCAAGATCAACAGGAGGCCTCCCCCTTCATGGAGCCATGCTTTCTGTTTTCATTTGCCTTTACTCCACCAAACCATGTGTTGATGAGGGTCTGCTCAATGAAATAGTTGTTCTAGCCATTATATGCAGAGCTGATATAAGAGATGAATCGCTATCCGGGTTTTGTGGAACTAAGTGGTTTATTTATTTATTTTTTATACTGGGAGGGGTGTCTGGCTGGCTTAGTCTGAGGAGCATGTGACTCTTGATTTTGAGGTCATTAACTCAAGCCCCACATTGGGCGTAGAGGTTACTTAAAAGCAATAAAATCTGGGGATCTCTGGGGGGCTCAGCGGTTTAGCGTCTGCCTTCCGCGCAGGGCGTGATCCTGGAGTCCCAGGATGGAATCCCACATCAGGCTCCCTGCATAGAGCCAGCTTCTCCCTCTGTCTGTGTCTCTGCCTCCTCTCTCTGTGTCTCTCATGAATAAATAAAATCTTTAAAAAATAAAAAATAAAAATAAAATAAAATATTTAAAAAATAGAAAAGAACAAACACTGGGAAGTCTATAATGCAGTTTGAATTGGAGAAGTTCAAAATAAAGTTAAATGCAAGAAATTCTTTCTTTGGGGCTAAGAAGAAAGACTCAGATGGTTCTTATTGTTTTTACATAAGTCTAAACTTAATTGTTCAATCATATTGCAGAGTTCACATTTATCTGCTAGAATATGCAAAGAGTATTAACCTCATAATCTTTTAAGCACACGCAGCATATATTTGGCTTTGTAGTGGGCAACTGGAATGAAAATTAAAAAATAAATCAAGCAATTAGAAGGCATATATAGGCTGGTCCAAGTGCAGTGGTGTTTACAATTAATTGATCACAGCCAGTTACAGATTTTGTTCCTTCTCCACTCCCACTGCTTTACTTGAAAAGGAAGAAGAAGAAGAAGAAAGAAGAAGAAGAAGAAGAAGAAGAAGAAGAAGAAGAAGAAGAAGAAGAAGAAGAAGAAGAAGAAGAAGAAGAAGAAGAAGAAGAAGAAGAAGAAAAGAGAAGAAGAAGAAGAAGAAAAGAGAAGAAGAAGAAGAAGAAGAAGAAGAAGAAAAGAGAAGAAGAAAAGAGAAGAAGAAGAAGAAAAGAAGAAGAAGAAAGAAAGAAAGAAAAGAAATAAGGAGAAATAGGAGGAGGAGGAGGAAAAACAAGAAGGAGGAGGAAGGAGGGAAGAAGAAGGTAGGGGAGGAGAAGGAAGAAGAGGGGGAAGAAGAAAAGGCAAGTATGGGAAGATAAGAGACTGATTCAGGCAATTCATCCTCCCATTCCACCCATACCTATAAGCTGCATGGAACACTACAGATGAATGATTTAGTTCTTTATTCACTCTTTGTGATTGGAGACTGAAACTACATTTTGAGATACATGATGAAACTCTCACAATTACTAGCATATTCAAGCTGGGGCCATATATGGAGCCTCTGCTAAACCCTGTCCATGCATTATGCCACTTAATAATCACAGGAATCCTATGAGGTATGGAATAATTGTAGCAATACAGATGAGTAGGCGATTAAGAACTTTGCCCAAGGTCACACATGTAAGTAACAACCAACAAAGCCTTTAAACCATTGCCCATTTGATTCCAGAGTTTTCTTCTTAGCTTCCAGCCTACACTACTGCCGTCACCCAATCTCAGATAATAAGATGTAGTGGGGGAAGCTTGAGGTCTGGAATCTGCAGACTTGCATTAATTATCAGTTTGAGTAGGTCGCTTCATCTCAGTTTCATCATTTGTGATATGAGAAGAATCGTATCCACCCTGCCTGCCTTCCAAAGCTCCCATGATGATCAGGTGAAATGGTTTTCTTGTGAGAACTTAAGAAACAGGAATGTGCTATGCAAATATAAGCTGATAGGATTTATTTACCAGTGTAGTCTGTTGATGGATTTGTAGGAATTTAGTTGGTGTTTAGGGAGTATATTATGTGTGACAGTTGGAAATGAGTTCCATCCAAACAAGATATGATAAATGGGTGAA